ATCGGGTTCTGAGAAATTGGAGGTCGAGTTTTTAGAAGACGTGGCGCGGATGAAGGACATGAAGAAGCAAGAACAGGTTGATAACAAGCTGGAGTTCTTTTTTAGTATTGGGTTTGGGAAGAATAAGATCACGTCTAAGGTTGTATCGAGAGTTAACGGAACAAGAGACCAGTTGCAGGAGAGATTTGATTGTCTGCTGGAAATGGGGGTTGAATACAGTACTCTTTGTAGGATGGTGAGTGCGACGCCGAAATTGCTTAATCAGAGCACGGAATCGATTCGTGAGAAGGTGGATTACCTCCTCAACGACCTCGGTTATACTCTGCAGTATCTCAATAGTTTCCCGGCCTTTTTATGTTTTGATTTGGAGAATAGGATCAAGCCTCGATTTAACATCATGAATTGGCTTAAAGAGAATGGTTTGGTAAAGAAGCAGTTTTCTCCTGCGACTATACTTGCAAATGCTGAGAGGAGGTTTGTAATTAACCTCTATGGCATCCATCCGGCAGCTCCCAAGCAATGGTTAGAGGTTTTTTCATCGCGAAGCGACCATCATGGTAACCAGAGAAACTTATTTTCTCCTAAGGAATATCTTGGAAATTCCAGCTAGCTAGGCAATTAAACATCAGTGACAACTTTGGATTCAGGTTGTATTATAGAGTGTTGTTATTCCCTTCTGGTTTCTGTAGCTCGCTACAATATGAACTCTTGACTTTGAAACCAAGGTCTTGCTGCATTTCGGTATATGTGGACAGTCGAGTACTGGCAGTGCATATTTATCAGTTGATTCTATCTGAATCAGGTTAATAAATGTAATTATTTATTGCTGACAACAGAATCAACGGAAGTTTGGAGGAGACACTTTGTGAATGTTCAGCCATTAACATTGTTCAACATTCGTATAGAATGGTTACAAAAGAAAACTAATCTCTAGTTAGAATGACTCCTTTCCTTCACCTATTCATATCGCCTATCGCCTATTTTCTTTTTTAAGAATTCTGTCATCACGTTCACATTTCTTAAATATCTTACTGTTTTCATAAATGAATGATAATGTTGTACTTGGTTGCCATTTCTCTATGTTGAAAGAGTTACTGAAAAGCATAAGTATTTTTGGCTTTATTTTCCTTTTGTTAATTGTTTGGTTGAATCTTTATAGCTGATATTTTCCCATAATTAATTTGTGTAGGTGATTCACCTAGTGAACTAATGCCAATAATCTAGATGCCACAGATATTGTTTCTTCTTGCAATGTATAAGCTGCATGAAATTGTTAATTTTAGTTGCTCAGAAGTTGTGAAGATTTGCCTATTGTTTTATAGATTTCTCTGTCGATTATGATTACGAAATTCAACTTTTCAGTTCGAAGTTCATTTGGAATTTTTTTTTTTGTTTCAGCACTTGCTATATGTAAGTACCTGCAATCACAGCTTTCTCTTAGACTAGAGGTGAATCTTTCCTAAATGATCTTAGCTCACGACAGAAATCGGCATTTTTTAAAGTATTTATTTAGGCCTTTCTTTTTGGTGGCTGTAACAAGAATTCTTGTATATCTTTTGAAGTGATATTCCTGGGATTTTACCCATGCCCTTTTCAGTGATGTCCTTTGGATTACATTCTAAACTAGTTTGTTTGAATGTCATTTCAGAACAACTCATTACTTTCTGGCCAAAGAGTGATTTGTAGTAAAGAAAGACCGTATGGATCAGAGAAAAGAGATCTTAACATCCTCTTCCTAATGCAAAGATTAGGCCCTCCTAGGGTTGAATCCTAAGGAATTTAGTCAAAAGATGGCATGCAACGGGTAGTTGATTTGGAGTTCACGAATCCTCTTGGAAAAATAGAATCAAGGATTAGAATCCTTAGCACTGCATATATAAAAGCCCTTAGATGGGGGTGCCACATTTGAAGATGGCAATTTGTCAACTGGGGACAATCTTCTAATGCTATGAACCTGAATGAAGATGACATCAGTATCCTTGGAATTGGGTCTATAACATGCCCTTGGAATTGCGAAATTGTGTACATTTTAAGATGCACGCCTGGTTTGTTGGGGAATATTGTCTTCCATCCTTAGTAACCCCATGATTACATCAAGCGGCCAAGATAAAACAACCAAGGAGATTGACAATATATAGATGATTTGGGCAACACTTGGTCGTCTGTGGTGGCATCAAGAGGCACCCTACCTCTCCATCATACTATTCCACTCGTGTCCATTCTCAGAAGAATTCAAAAAACCAAGCGATTCTTAATCCACTTATACATACATACATCTTAAGCGCGAGAAAAATATTCGTCATTACAGGACTACTGTATAATCTATCAAATGGAAGACCTATGTCCAAGAATGCTTACTTCACAGGCACAAAGCCGACAATGTGCTCAACCAAATGTGAGAAGCACTCAAATGTTCTGTCCCTTGACTTCAATCTGATGAATCCTAACGCCGTTGAGGTACTTTTTTTTTGTTATCCAATTTGCAGATAAATTTGCTTGTGCCCGGTGATCCACCTGTCATAAGAAACATGTACAATGCTACTGCTCCATTGCTTCAACCTAAATACTCACTTAGATATCAACAGTCCCACCTGGACAACTGTGATCACTATATCATGCATTAAATTCTTATTTTGGAGCATGCAAATGTTTCTTGTTGAATGGGCTCATTTGGAGTCTTTTCAGATCATAAAGGAGAACATTATGTTGAAGGTTGGATGCTGTGTATTGCTTAGCAGAAGTTGAATTGCATATTGTGGTTGGTCAAGGACTGCTGATGTAGAAGGTAAGTTAACAACTATCATCTAGAAGAAAAGTGTTAAAATGCTGTAGAGTTTGATATTCAATAAGCAATGGTTGTGGGCCTGTGATTCTTACTAGTGGTATGGGATGTGGTTATAGGTAGGGAATTTTATATATGCGTATGTGTATGTGTATGTGTATGTGGGTATGCTTGGTACCAAGCACAATTTTTGTGCTTGGTAGTGAGGTGGCACAATCCTCTTCATTCGTTCAAATGGGAGACCATAATCACATGGGTTGAGGAGTGCATGTGGATATGCAATCATTTGAATGAGTGGAAGGGATTATGCCACCTCACTACCAAGCACAATTTTTTGTGCTTGGTACCAAGCATACCCATTTTTCTCATATATATGTGTGTGTGTACACACACGCACATATACATACATACATTTATGTATGTACATATATGTATCAATGTATGTATGTGTGTGTACATGTATGTGTGTGTATCATATTCCCTTTAAAAGCACGAGTTCGGGAAAAATCTTTCCATAGTCAATATTACCATTCATTATTTTAAATATTTTATTTAAATCTTAATCTATTCTAATTCTAATTGTATCTTATCTAATCCCACATGAACTACCCAATAGCTCAACAATTAAAAAAAAGATTAACAAACTACATGAAATATTATTTTGAATATTTTATTTAAATGTTAATCTATCCAAATACTAATTATATCCTATATTAACTCCACATGAACCACCCATAGCTCAACAGTATAAACAAATAAGATTAAGAAATTCTACATAGATAACATATTATAATACATGAAGTATTATAAAAAAACCCACTTTTTAAAAAAAAATTACACAAAATATCTTCAAAAGTCTAGAATTACCCAAAACATGTTGACTTTTCAAAACTTAAAACAACAAACATAAAATCTAAAAATTAACAATAGCCCCCCAAGGAATTTGGAATTGCAGAAACAATCTCAAAAGTTCAAATTATAAAAACGCACCTTAAAATTTAGAGATTTTAAAACTTACAAACAACATAGACCACTTGAAAATTTAAATTTTGTAAAAAAATCTCAAAGTTACAAAAAGTACAAAAACTCCATCAAAAGTTAAAAATATCAAAATATCCTGAAATTTCAAAACTTATAACTGGTAAACATCCAATCTAGAAGTTATCAGCAAATTGCTGAAAATTAATTTTTTTCAAAAAACAACACAATGTTTTAGTAATTGCAAAAAAAATCTTAAATTTCAGAGTTGCAAAAACCATCTTAACATTTGAACTCACAAAATTATATAAAAATTACAAGCACCCAACGTAAAATTTAAAATTTTTAAAAAATGCTATCAAAGTTTAAAAATTACAAAACACACCCTCAAAAGTTCAAAATCACAAAAAGGCTAAAATTTGGCAAAGAAAAGAGTAAATATTTGATATTCTTTTTACTAAGATATATAAATTTAACTATCAATTTAAAGTTTATCATCCCTTTTCAGTATCTAAAAGTAGTCTAAGTTAATACTGGTAAAATATAGCAATTATAATAAATTAAAACTATTCAGTTAAGGAGTAAAAATTTAAAAAATATATGATAGATTAAAATAGCAATTATAATAAATTAAAACTATTCAGTTAAGGAGTAAAAATTTAAAAAATATATGATAGATTAAAAATTAATGTTGCTATATAAATTTAATGATAGTTAAGGAGTAAAAATTTAAAAAATATATGATAGATTAAAAATTAATGTTGCTATATAAATTTAATGATCTGCATATAATTTTACTAATAACATAATTGATTGAAGACTAAATTATATAAAACCGACAAAAGACTATAATATAAAAAGTTAACATTAATTGATTACAATGTATAAACATTCATCTTTGATGTTAATAATATTTATAGGGTATTAAAAAATACAATGAGTTAATGAATCCAAAGGGACACCTCTCGGAGCTCCGTTATGCCTCCCTCAAACTACATGCCTACCTCAGCTTTAATAGCTTGTCAATCAGCTTCTCATTATATAATTATCTGCTTAATTCACCATAGAATTTGATGCGTCAAAACTGGAAGCATTTTTTGCAAATAGCTCAAGAGTATGATATTTAATTCACCATAGAATTTGATGCGTCAAAACTGGAAGCATTTTTTGCAAATAGCTCAAGAGTATGATATGTGATCATAGATCATTTGGAGATGACATGGAGTAACAAGTTTATGAATAGAGAAATTATCAGAAAGTTCATAGATATCCTTTAAAAAAATCAAGCTATTTTCATTTCAAATGGAGAAGTGAAGGAAATAAATCTAAAATTCGAAAACATTCATAAATCACTTGAACTGACATTAACAAAAGTTATATCTAGCAAAGAAGCACCAACTGAGTTCCTCTTGAAGAACATATTGAACAACTTTATCCTGATCAAAAAAGCATTCTCCATAAAAGATACAAAAAAAATTAGTAAGCGTTTGTAATTAAATTTTCATACTTTTTCCTATATAGTGGCATGACTCTGCAAGTAACTTTATTTGGGGATATGATTACCAATGAATGATCAATTTTTAAAGGCACGATTAAAGATAAACATGTAATAACACTGTCAGGTTTCAAAATCTTTAAATATGAAGGTAACATATTTTACCTCTAAAATTTTTATCAAAATTCACATTATATATGTCTCAAATTTGCGTGGGAAATATGCATGTCATCGTAAATTATGTTAACAATACATATCAACCCAAAGATACAACTTATTGAAGAAATAAGAGAATGGTAAGTAAACCAACTAAACATTTATATAACACAATAAAGAAAAAATATTACACTTTAAAGCTAATACGTATGACTCTTTCAGAATAAGCTGCCAAAATAAAAGCATATTCATCAAGGCTCTTTACAAATACCATACAAATTTAAACTATTGATATATGTAATCATCACAACATTCAAAGTGGTATGTTCTTACAAGACCTACTCTAAAATGTACACAATTAAACTTAAAAATACTATACTAATATACAGACACGCTATTGGACCTATAATGTAAATATAACTATCATTTACAATATAGTTTGCAAAGGCTACAACAAGAAAGTGGATAGCGATGTTGCTAAGAATATCCAAATGATAAATATCATAGGATCACTTATGATGTAATACCAACGTTGAGTAATATCCCTTCTTCATGAAATAAACATATCAAAATTAAATATTAACATTATAATCTAAGATTATTTGATAATGGAAAATACAATTATTTAGTTTAAATTCTTGTGGAAAATGACACAAACAGAGCAAAAAAATAGTATTATTTAATGCAACATAAACTCTTATTGGATGCACACTAGAAAAAATTCATTGCAAAGAAAAAATAGGTAACTCCTAACATTATTTAAAAAATAAATTAGAAACGTAAAAAATTTATATATACGAAATTAACATTTAATCTCATTAAAATACAAAAATAATAAAAGTCTGTATTTTTAAAAGTTTTTTATTGAATATCGAAAATACATTTAACTTATTTGTGAAGTAAGACGATAAGACAGAAGATGAACGAGCTCATAGAAAAATAACATCACAAGAAATTAAACTCCAACCTGATGTCACAATCAATGTAGACAATGAAGACACAACTCTAGAATTGCTTAGGAAGAAGATAAATGTAAAGAAGGATTGATCTTAACTTAATAAAAAAACAAAACAAAAAGAATAAAAGATTTGTTTTTCGAATTTTATAGAATAACTTAATTTTTTGAGTAAAACCAAGAATATTTAGAAGGGATTCTCATCAACTCTTTTAAGTATTTTTATATGGTTATGTGGATGATTTTATCATATAAAAGTGTACTAGAGTTATTATTAATCTTTAGTTTATGATTTATTCTGAAGTTTATGAATGATTAGCAATAAACTTCATATTCTCTTTAATTTCGCTCTATACCACATTAATTAATCATCTTGGCTTATTGGCTTTAATTATTCATCTTTCTTTTATAACGCTATTTTTAAGTGTTTTTCACTTTTACAACATTATATTTTCTCAAACCAAGCTTTGTTTTGTGTCGGTCCAAATAACATAAGAATTCAAATTAGTTTTAGATTACATTTGTTTCCTAGCAATTCAATTATCAATCATGAAAATTTAAATTTAGTGTAGCACATTCAAACAATTATCAAAGAAAATAAATAATCACAATGCTAAAGTTTAAAGATATAAGTGAGCAAAAACAATCGAAGTGGAACTGAGAAATAAATTTTAGTAAGAAAATATATTGAAAATATTTAATCATGGTATTTAACCACGTGTATTGTACGTGCATAAAACCTAGTGTGTGTATATATATATATGATATATAATAGTATATATAATATAATATATATATATATATATATATATATATATATATATATATATATATATATAATATATTATATATATATATATATAGCGCGCAGCGTCAGCACACAAACACACACACATCAATATATATATATATATATATAAGATTAATGAGTATCATTGTCATAGGAGGGATTTCCTCCTTGACGCCTATCATAAAGTCGGAGAGAGAGTTGTGAGTTGGTGGAGATTTGTGCCTACTTTATGAGAATATGGGATGAACTTGTACCACATAGGCGACATGAGGGAAATCGTCCTCTATGACAAAGATACCCATTAATCTCTCTCTCTCAATATATATATATATATAGAGAGCAAACTTTGTCAACTAAGTGGATAGTAAAAAGTTATCCACGCAAACTTTTTAGCCACTCATATTGCCTAGGGATTCTTGTCATGATATGAAAATATTTTTATATTAATAAATGATATATATATATAATATATATATATTATATATATATATAATTATATAATATATATATATATATTATGTGTGGTTGTGTGTGTGTGTGGTGTGTGTTGTGTGATAACACACATATACACACACACACACTAGAACTCACAATAGATTAAAGCTTTTTTTGGTTATATCTAGGGTTAAGCCTTTATAACATTACAAGAAAATATTTATATGAGGTTTATATTCTAAATTATATCTTCTATTTGATGGTTTATACTAGTTCCTAATGGTAGGATGCCGATGCAAGCAGAAGTAACAGTGGGGGTAGATCACCAAAGTAACTTGATCCCCTTAAGGTCGAGTGTTGAAAGCTTATATCAAATGCTTGATGGATTTAGTATAAATACGATGAGCCGTCACTACTAAGCTCAACCATCTATGTTAACAAATACACAAGGAAAACTACGGACAATAAGGTAACCTTAAAGTTGCATTTTGTACCATGAATGCAACATACTGAATGCACCTGTAAGCAATCTAAGTAACTAAAACCTCCCTCGATCATGTGTTGAAAACTTTGACCATTGCTTGATGGATTTAGTAAAAATATGATGACTGACACAACCAAGCTCAAATCTATATTAGCAAATAGCCAAATACACAAGGAAAACTACAGACATAGTACTAACCTTAAAGTTGCATTTTGTACCATGAATGCAACATACCAAATACACCTGTGGGCAATCTGAATACGATGAAATGTAACCACAATAATCTAGAACATTACAGTCGCTTCTAACTCTCATGATTTGTAAAGGTTTCATTAACTTCTTACCTTTGCAGAAGTTGTAAAGTTGCATCAAACTAGAACAATTCTTCATTAAGTACAGACAATTAGCAGTTTTCTTGAATGCCAATTTTCTTGTTGTTATTCTTTTGTTTTGTTTTTGTTTTTGTTTTTGTTTTCTTTGGGTTTTGGCTGGGGGGGGGGGGG